TAGCCGCCAAATACTCTACCCACTGTGACACCAGGGACCATTGGTATCTATTGAGAGGGAAGACTGACTCCCCCACAGCAGGCATCTTGGCATTGAGTCAAGCGCCCCAGTTCCAGCACGAGCTCTGCTACCTAAGACGTGATTTGGACAAGAAGGCAGCCTCCCTATGCCTCAGTTTCCTCACAATAACAACACTCTGTCTAGGAGATGCTTCACAAGGGAGGGAAGATGCCTTAGGCAACGCTCTGGGAGAGGAGTGAGCGGCCAGTTGTCATGCGCAGTGGCAGAGTTGGAGGACCCAGTAACTTCATTGCTGGAGCTCCGGGGGCTCGGTCCACGGGGATGAGCACCTCACCCACAGGCGGTGCCCCTCGGGCAGGTCACAGGCACCAGGGGCTCCAGGACAGGCTCTCTGCTCCCGTGCCATTTGCTGCCTCAGAAACCTGACAGGGGGCCAGCGAGGATTAGTGGCAATGACTTGGACTTCTCAACAGTGCTTCTCAGAATCCATTAAGAACATGGAGCTGAGGACTCTTGGGAGGCACTTGGGGAACCTGTTGTCCCACGTGGAAGCTCCAAGTGCCGAGAGGGCGGGCACTGGGGTGGGAGGAAGAGGTGCGCTCAAGAGCCCTGTAGACGCTGCAGGACTGGGTGGCTGAATGCAAGGGGTCAAAGAGAGCCCCACCAAGGTGTTCTCAGGGTGAACACACTCACGGTGGTGCTCTTGGCAGCCCCAGGAGTGAGGGGGGCCAGGGCATTCATGTGCAAGACAGAGGGTTTCAGCCTTAATGTTCTTGTTCTTTGTAAGTTTATTTTTCTTTCTAAATATGTTGTTGTTGTTAGGTGCTGTCGAGTCATAGACGACTCTTAGAGACACTATGAATGAAAGACTTGAGCACTGTTCATAGAGTTTCTGGAGACAAGACATTTCGGAAGTGGACGCCACTCCTGCTTCCAAGCTTGTTTTAATTGGGGAGCTCCACCAAACACTGTCCACCATGGGTAACCACTATCATATTTGACACATCAGTGTCACAGTGTTTAGCATCGCAGCAACCATGAGTTACCTCTGTAGCAATGCACAGACCAGTGCTATGCCACTTAGAAGAATGTTTGACAGGAAAACAATTTAAACCAGGCCTGAGGGAAACAGGCCCTCAGACCCTAATGGATTTTTAAGTAGGAGGCTGTATCCCGTCCCCGCACTCCCCTAGAGGAATCAACTTTCTACCCCAGTTCTTACCAATCTTGGCCATCAAGCTTCTTTCAAAATTCCAGCCTCCTAGTTAAAAAGCCTTTTGGTCGGCAGCATGAGGCTGGAATCCATTCTGAAAGCCATCTACAGAAGCTGGCTTCTACAGGAGCTTGGTGGCCAAGATTGGTGAGAATTGAGGTGGAAAGTTGGTTCGGTTGATTCTAAACATAGATGTTTTAATTTGTGGCTTTAATAAATGCAGGAAAGCAAACGTTTCCCTCTGTCCTGCAGAAGCCTGTGCCAGATCAGTGTGTGCAAAGGGTGCAGCTGATTGATTACATGATGTGGTACAAGGAAATCATGCCTGAACGCAACCTTGAGCTTCGAGGGCATCTCAGCCTTCTATTTCAGGCACCAGAGTGAAGGCATCGCTCCTCTGAGAGAGAATCATGAGTCAGAAAGGTTCACTGACACACAGAAATGAGGGGAAGGAATACTGCAAGAGGGGAACACTGAGCAGACCCCTGGAGTAATCGAGATATACAAATGAAAGGGCACAAGGAGCAGAATGTGCTTGAAAGTACACTTAAGTCTGGGAACCTCGGACAGTGACTTCAAACCAGTTAACGCAGCCAGCCGCACGCATAGCCACATGATCTACATTTATAGTTTAGCCTGAGTTTGTTGATATTTTACTTCTCATTTTCTGAGATTGTGCCCTTGGTACACTGCATTTGAGAATTCAAAAGAGTCCACAATCCCAGGATCAGAAAGTAGGATGTCTGGAAAAGAGTCGAACAGGAACTATTTCCAGGAATCCATTCCCTTAGCTAAGAATGAGTTAGAACTGTTAGTACTCCCACCCCGATGTCCTGAGGTTGTTGTGAGGTGTGGTCAAGTTGGAGCCAACTCTCAGCAGCCTTTCTGCACAAAAGACTGAACCCCATCTCACCCCCACCACTCTGAGGACAGGATCCGCCGCACCCTCAGGTCTGTGGCTGCAGACACGGTGTCTGTCCCTCTCTCTAGCCTTCTCACTGGGAGTCTCCCTCTCCTTTGTGGGCCTCCACCTTACTCAGCACGGGGTCCTTTCCAAGCGACTGGCCACTCTTGGCAAAATGCCTAAAGCGTATGATACGTCAATATTGCTCAATTACAAATATTTCCGTCTTTCTATCTCGTTGTTGTCTCGTCCCTTAGCTATTGGGATATCAAAACACAACACAGACCACCATGTTGTTGTTGTGTACATTCAAGTCAGAACTGACCCGTAGCTGATCCTCCAGTCAGTTTTCAGAGACAGTAAATTGCACAGGAGGCGACTGCCCGTTCCTCTCCCATGGGGCAGTGGTGAATTCAAACTGAGGGCCTCTGAGGCACAGCTTCTTTCCACTTGGCCACCAGAGACCACCATGGAGGGACGGAGTTTCCTAGATGATTGTCCTTGTTCCCTAGCCCGGCTCTGGCCCTGGGACCCCAGAGGGAACGCTTGGGAAAGAAGAGCTGGGGGAGGGGGAGGTTGGGCAATGAACTGGTGTTTGGCTGGAGTGGTGGGCAGGGTCCCAAGCCACCGTCTTCTACTTGATTCCAATTCACAACAGCCCTCCGTCAGGTGTTCGAGGCTGCCCATCTCTCTCCTGGGGAGTGACTGTAGGCAAAGTACTGTCCTCCAGAAATGTCCATGCCCTAATCCTGGGACTGATGAGTGTGAGGTCACTTGGCCCAAGGGACTCTCCAGATGACAGCAAGTGAGAGATGCAGAGTGGAGACATCCTGGGTGCAGTAACGACTGATGCTGCCCCACATCCACCCTGAGGACAGACCAGAACTGTCCGCAGGGATAACGGCAACATCATAGGCTTTTACTCATGGAGCAGCTCGTGGGTACAACAGCCAACTTTCAGGTTAGCAGCCGAATGTTTTAACCACCGTACAACCAGGGCTCCTGAAAATAATCCTACAGACCTCAGGTCCTTGTAGGAGATGAGAGCGACCGAGGGAGAGACCAGCTGATGGAAGCAGAAGTCAGAGAGAGGCTGGCATTGGCCCCACCACTGGTTTTATTGCAGGAAGAAGCACAAACCAGGGCATTCAGTAAGCTTCTAGAAGCTGGAGGCATGACACTGGATTCTGTCCTGAGCCCCCAGAAGGAATGCTGCTGGCTTGTGATTTCACAATGAGACGTTTGTGACCTCCAGGCTGGGAGACCATAGAGTTTTGCTTTAGACCTCTGTGTCTGTGTTGTTCGTTCCAGCAGCAATGTGAGGCTCATACACCCTGAAGCAGCAGCTGCTCGCCTGTGGAAGGCCATGCAGAGAGGGGTCTATGGAGGTGAGCAAGGGACCTTTGTCACTCACTCACCGGCCTGTCTGGCAGAAGCCTAAGGGAAGCCCCCTACTTTAGCCAGTTCAGCTTTCCAGAGTGGACAGAGCCTGCCCTCCCCTCAGCCTTCATTTCAAACCCTGGTGGCTAATGGGAGCAACCCGCTAGCCATGCACATGAATGGTCAATCAGCAGAACCAAGTACAAGAGACAGATGGAGAGTTCAGAGCTGGGGATGGGGTGGACGTAGCTGGCCAGGCTATGAAAGAGAGGAGAAGGAAAGAGAGAGAAAGAGAAAGAGGGAGGAAGGGGGAAGAGAGAGAGCAGGAAGATGACAGTGAGAAAGCAAGAGAGTGATAGAGATCAAGGTAGAGAGGGAGGAGAAGGACCGAGATGACAGAGGGAGAAAGGGAGAGAGACAGACAGACAGATGGAAGAGGAGACCAAAGAAGAGAACTTAGAACAGAAGGACTTAGAAGTTGGTAAAGCCACGGGAGGCCTGATTACCAGCCACAGGCCTCTGGGAAAACATCAGGGGCCGTGGAAGCCTCTGGGGGGCTGGGTGTGTGATGAGTGTCAGATAAGGGGGCAGGTGGCTCTGTCTGGTCTGCTTAGCTAGCGCCGGAGGACACTGGGGGCTGTGTGCTGACTGTTTAGCTCCTTCTGAAAGCACGCAGGAGCCAACTAGGACTCTGCCCAGGGCTGTGGCCTCAGCCTTAGCCAGAGGGCCAGCGTGCTGAGTTCCTGGGGTGGCGGGGCAGCTGGGGGCGCTGGACCTCCAGGAAAGGGGAAAAGCTGGGGGTGTGTGCACATCACAGGGTGAGACCAGAACAGTGTACCCCCAGAGGGCCCTGTTGCATGAACCCCCACATGCCACTTCCACTGATGGGCTGAGCACTGGGTCTGAGTGGCCCCTGGGATCAGGCAGGACATTCCCTCCTTGCACAGGGAAGGGCTGACGATGGGCGTCAAGCAGAGGCTGAAGCTGGAGGCCCAGCCCGCTGGGAGAGGCTGAGTAGAGAGAGATTCCAAGAAGGAGGAGCTCCAGGCTCTCAGGAGCCCCCTCCCGCACTCCTGCAGTCAGCTCTCATGCAGGGACAGCGACTTTCCAGAAAGTTCCAGGCTGTGGAAACCCCGGTCCATCTGAGCATGCGCACTTGCCCATCACGGCAGAGGAGCACTTAGTGAATCTATAATCAAGCACTGTAAAGTCTGCCCTTTTCTCTTCAAATCTCGGGCCTCTTGTGCCCAGGATTCGACTCGGGATCCTGCCCAGGGTTGTGGTGACTGATGGTCAGGGGTCCGCAGCGTGGGGTGCGGCAGACTCTTCTGGAATGGAGCTGTCGTCGTCTGGGGGGTCTCCACCTCCTGTCCCTCTGTGGACCACTAGGGCTTCTGAGCGCCGATTTCGTGTGCTGTGGCATCTTCCTCCTGCTTTCACACCAAGCACAGACCTACCACGGAGAGCTGAGTTCAGCTAGGGATGTCGGGAATCTGCGAGGTGCCTCTTGCCTTCGACTCGGAGCTACAGCTGGGCCAGCTGCCTGGATGTGCCTCCTGCGTGGACCAGGCCATGGACGGCCGAAGGACCAAGTGCTCCCCCTGGAAGTGGTGCAGTCAGAGTGCTCCCCAGAAGCAAGGGCTGTGGGACTGTCTCCCACACGCCTGCACGTTCTCAGAGGAGCCAGGCTTCAGATACAGACTCGGGTTGTTCCTGGAAGAGTAGAGGATCACTGAGAGGAAGGCCTTCAATGAGGTGGACGACCCACCGGCTGCAGCGATGGCCGTAAGCACAGCAGAGATTGTAGGAGCGCAGGACGGGGCAGGGCTCAGCTGCTGTACTCAGGGTTGTGAATCAGGATGGGCTCAAGGCGACCCAACGCAAATCATTCAAGTCTTAAGGAGCCCTGATGGCAGGAAGAGTTACATACTGAGCAGCTAACTGAAAGATCAGAGGTTCAAACCTACCAGCCCATCTTTGAGAGAAAGATGGGGAGTGTTCCCCTGGTAAGATTCACAGCCTCGGAAACCCACAGGGTGGAAGTTGCTGGAGTCAGAACCAATTCTGCAGCTCGTGTTTGGGTTTTTAAATTCCAATCTTAGCATTGAAGTTACTGCTTTCTTAGGGGCAGCATGTTCCTGGCTTCAGAGGAGCTGTGTCAGTAGGCACATGGTGGACAGGCTCCGTCAGTGGGTATGCTGGGAAGGAAGGGGTGAGCAGAGGGCATGTGGATGGACTCTGTCAGTGGGTGCACGGGAAGGGGTCAGCAGAGGGCTGGATGGACCTGTACGTCCACAGAGAATGCATGGAGTGGTCTTTGTTGGTGGATGGGGTGGGGCCAGGCCGAGCTGCTCCTCCACCGAAGACCAGGAAGAGGGCGGATGAGCTCCACCAGCGGACAGGGCTGGGAGGAGATGTCCACTAACCACAGCCACCCATCATTTCCTGGTGTCATGAGAAGAAACCCCACAGGACATCTTAGCACATCCCAGAACCTGCTACTCCAGTCCAAGAGTCCTTAGAAGCTTCCTGCGGTTATCTATGACCAAGAAAGTGAAAACTGCAGGCCAGGGCAGAGGGAGAGGAGCTGGTGCTAAGGGAGCCCCGGGCCTTTGGTTTCCCCAACATCTTGGAGGAGCAGCACACGAGCCAGTTCAGGTACTGCTGGGCAGAATGGCCAGGCCTGTGGTGTTCCGGGGATGTGCGTGGGGCTGGGTATGGTGAGCGTTCTCCTGGTCTGCGTGAAGATCTGCCCAGGGAATACCATCTTGGGGTTGCACCACCACTAACTTAACTAGCGTACAAGTACCAGCTCTACCCACTCCCCCTCTACTCCCCCTTAAAAAACGCCAAGCCCACTACTGTGGAGCCAGTTCTAAGTCATGGTGACCCCCAGGCTTTCAAGGGAGTGAATGTATAGAGAGGGAGCTCTGGTGGCTTAGTCATAAAGAGCTGCATTGCCAACTCAAAGGCACAATGTTCAAATCCACCAGCTTCTCCGCAGGAGAAACAGATGAGCAGTCTCCTCCTGTGTGACGTGTTGCACCTGACGAAGGGCCAGCTCTGAGTTGATTCTAACAACAGTCGTTAAGTGCCCTCAAGTCGAGCATGACTCATAGCGACCCTATGAACAAAAAAAACACCTGAACCTTGTTCTGTAACTAATGTCACTTCTTTAAGTTCATAGAGTTTCTGGAGGCACGTTGTTTAGGAAGTGAATGCCGCTCCTGCTTCCAATATGTATATAAAAAAATACATATAGACACTGTTAAAACTGTGATGTGAATGAGTTTGTAGAACGTGCTTGCTTTTTTCTTCATTCATACATGTTTTGCTTTATAACATTAGTTACAATACTCACAGTATCTGATCATCTCCTTATTGTCTATTTATCCACTTTTAGATTCAAGAATGATACCACCGCCATAAGAACCTCTCCTTAGCTTTTTATTGTTAGTGGTCTCACATAATATTTTTCCTTTTGTGATTTATTTCACTCAGCATAGTGTCCTCTAGATTTGTCTATGTTATGTAGTATTTCTGAAATAGTTTACTTTTTAAAAATTTCATATAGTAATGCCTAGTATCCCATCGTATGACTGTATCAGAATTTCTTTAGCCATTTGTCTGTTGATGGGTGTTTCGTCACTAAGCTATTGTAAATCGTGCTGAAATGAACATGAGTATGCATTTTCCAGCTCGGATTTCTTTGGGATACATTCCCATTAGTGGAATCGCTGGATCAAATGGTATTTACCTTTTCAACTTTATAAAGAAATGCTAAACTGTTTTCGATGTGAGCTGTTTACACTCCCACGGATGTGAGTGGGCATTCCAGTCTCTCCACACCCTTACTGGCATGTGTGACATGCCTGAACTTTGATGTTGTTGATGAGGTGAGTTACATGTCTTTGCTGTTTTGCTTTATGTCTCTTCCATAGCTGATGACGCTGGGCATTTCTTCATGTGTCTGTCGACTATCTAAATGCCTGTTTTCTGTGAAGTGCCTTGTCAGGTCTGCCTGCTTTGTAATTGGGCTGTTTGTCTTTTTCTTGTTTGGTTACTGGAATTTTCTACACATTTTATACATGCATTCCTTATCAGTTTTACTGTTGCAATTCCTCCCCCGTCCCCAGTCTGTAGGTTTTCCTTTTATTCTTTTGGAGAAATCCTTTGATGAACATGTTGTTGTTGTTGTTATGTGCTGTCGAGTCACCTGCGACTCATAGCAACTCTATGTACAACAGCCCTAAACCCTGCTCTATCCTGTGCCAATTTTATTGTCTCTGACACACTTACCCCCATTACCCCAGTCACTGAATCAATATATAAAAATTTGGAATGCCTCACAAATTTGCATGGAAATGTCATTTTTAGGTGGTGGTCCAAATCATCTGCTTTATTCTCTGCCAATTGTTCATTTCCCCTTATCTTATAGTATCTTTATGCCATAGTTTATGATTCTTAACTTTGCCCCACTTTTTCTTTGATGAACATTTATACTTTCAGGCTTTTGCCTAGGCCTTTGATCATTTTGAGTTAATTTCTGTATGTGGTGTGAGATACGAATCTTTTTAATTTTTCTGCAAATACCCAGTCTTGCCGGTGGCATTGTTGAAGAGGCTTTCTTTCCCCTCATCTAGTGGAGTCTAACTTTTCATTAAAGATCACAGCTGTGTGTCTCATAGAAGGAAACTGCCCATTTTTCCACCCTGAGAACAGGTAGTGGAGTAGAACCTCCGACCTTGCAGCTAGTAGTCCAACTTGAAAGACACCCTCCTCCGGAGCTCTTGCAGACCTACAGCTTGTCTAATTCGTATGAACATAAGCCATGCTGTAAGAAACATGTGTCCATGTGAACGTCTTTGCTAAATTCCCATTCAGGCGGCGTATCTTGAGGAGGCTTTGCTGGGTCAGAGGCCCGAGCAGGTGGACTTCTCACACGCATCACTCAGCTCCCTGTTGGAAAGCAGCCACCAGCACAACTCCACGGGCAGCGTCACCAGCTCCTCTTTGTCCACTCTCGAGGGGGGGGGCGTTATTGTGGCCTTTGCTTATCTGCGGGCACAGCCGAGACACAAGCACTCGGCACAGCCGAGACACAAGCACTCGGCTCAGCCAAGACACAAGCACTGGTGGCCTCACTTTCCCCTTCGCTTACTGCAGCTGCCCAGACGAAGGCCTTCTCTGTTTGTATTCCTGCTTTTGGATGGCAATTAGTGCCCATTGCCAGGATTTCTATTGAAACGTTTGAAAAAGAACTGATGTGTAAGCACTTTCCAAGTGTAAAACACGAGGCTCTGTCCCTCGACTCCTGTGTGTGGCCCTCACGTGAGCTGGCCCTTTGCTTGGTCACTGCCTGCTGGGGTTTCTGATTTTCACGGTGACATGTCTCCCTTGATGTCTCCATTCTAGATTTGCAAAACATATGCTCTGTGTTTGTAGCGTGTTCATCTCACTCAAATGTTGAAGCTGTTTGGAATGTACAGTGACGAGAAAGGCGAGGGTATTAATTAGGGGTTTCAGCTGTCGTGGGTCTGACACAGAGGACTATACCCCTTCCTGCACCCCCTGCACGTTCTCAGTGCAGTCACTACTGTGCCAACCCATCTCCTCAAGGGTCTTCCTCTCCCTCTCTCCCTCTCTCTCTCTCTCATTGACTCTTTCCTGATTCCAGCTCAGGGGAGACGTGTGTGGGACGCCACTGAGTCACAGGAAGGGCAAGGCTAATAAGGAGGGGTGAAGGAGGGATACAGAAGCAGAGCTAAGCAGACGACACATCCTCATGGTAGGGATTTTCCATGAAGGGAGTAGGTGCCTCTTACACCACGTGCTGACGTTCAGCTCTTGCCCTCAGACTGAAATGTCACTGTTTTCACAGGCTCGAAATCTGTTATTGCTTGGTCAGTTTCAAGCCCTCTCTTCCTGCAGAGCAGAGCACTGCAGCAAGATGGCTTTATAAGGCAGGGTAGGGTAAGACCCTTGACTCTATCTCCTTCCTTTAAAAGGTGTGCTGGCTATTCTCCTGTGCTTATACAGAAAACTCCTAATCACACTATCTCTCATCAAGTTTATCCCAACCCACCAAGGACCTCTAGGATAGGCTGGATGTGTGGCAGGGGGGTGGGGGGGTCGGAGGTGGGGTGTGTGTGTGTGTGGTTTCCAAGGCTGAGTGTCTTTCCAAAAACAGACCATCACATCTTTTTTTCTGACAGCCCATGTGTTAAAACCACAGAATTTTCATTTGGTACCCAAGTGTCCTGGTGTCACCACGGTGGCTCAGTTTAATCCAGGCTTTTACTAACTAGGACTCTTTTTCTTTTGTGAGTATTTAGACACACTAAGGCCCAGGGGATAGGTGCCCCGAGTTGCCTGCAGTGACATTAGATGCCCTTCTTGGGAGCTGCCACCCACAAGTGACTCCATGAACCTTTTTCTGCCCCTGCCTGCTGGTAGGTTTAGCTAGAGTTAGAAAAGTCCAGAAAAATCTTGAAGCATTGTCCTTCAACTGATTCTTGTCTTGGAGAAGTATAACATGTACCGCTCAGTGTACCTTTTACTTGTTTGGTTAAAATTCTATTGATAGAATTTATAGATTTCTTTGTGTGATTCCCT